AGGCACTATGACTGAACATGTCATTGTAAAGAATACAGGTCTCAGGACAGACCAGTTTAAGATGTCATATAAGTTTTCACCTTGATAATCTCAACCAGCTGATCAACTCCACTTTCCCCAGGAAAAAGAGGCTGCATGGATGAATATTATGAGAAGCAGCTACAGAGTAAAATGAAATGACTATATGCGTGAACAAAACCTGTCCAAGAAGCAGCTCTGCCATGACACAGCCTGTGGACCACAAATCAATGGCCGTAGTATATTCAGTTGCACCAAATATGAGTTCTGGTGCTCGGTAGTATCTTGAGCATATGTAGGAGATATTTGGCTCTCCCTTGACCTGCATATATTCAAAACATTACATAAAAAAAAATAGAAATCACCATGTCTTGGTAGGTTACTGGCATAACTGCACACCTTTTTTATTCTTATTATCAAGAAAGTTTAGCATGCTCTTTTCAAAATCAGCAGGACTCGTGCATTTAAATTTCAAAACCTAATATAGAAGATAACTTACCAAGACCTTTGCACTGCCAAAATCACATATTTTAAGCTGGTGTGTATGTGGGTTAACCTACAGTGGGAAGTTCACTGGGTTAGTAAAAATGTATTAGTGGTTCTTCAAATTTGTTTAGTAATTGTTCTTCCTGATGTAAAGAAAGCTCAACTGGCCAAACAATTCAGAGGGTGAGGAAAGATATGTATAGCACAACATATTAAGCAATAAGCATAGAAAGGGAGGTTAAAATCTCACGAGAACGTTCTGTGGTTTGATATCACGGTGGCAGATGCCAACACAGTTGTGTATATAAGCAAGTGCTCGACATATCTGCAAAGTTATGAGATTACAGGAACAATAATTAGACGACTTGTAAAGCTAATACTCAATATCAAAAGACAACTGAAGGAACAATTCTGTTGCATGGCCGGGACATTATATTCTGACTTGAGCAACTACAAAGAGCAAACAGATTACAGATTACAGATATATGACAGAACTCATTAACTAAACTTTTATCTGTAGTAAGAAGAAGCAAGTAAATAACAAGGATGCACTAATGTGTGATTCATCGGTTATACAGTAGATGGTCTATTGGAGTCCCTAGTAGAGATAACGTTCACACTACTACAAAAATGTGCACATAATTATCTCAGAAAAAAAACGTATGGCATCTACTCGCCTGTGTGATATACTGATATATACAAAGAAAATAGCGCCTTCTGATTAAGTAAACATACAAGAAGAAAGTTGTAGAACATAAATTCAAAGACTGTAGAACTGACAGGCTGGTTCGGTTGTACGTTTGGATGTCTCAGAATTTATTTTGGGTTGTTAGTCAAGCCATCAATGTGAATAACTAATCTGAAACTTGTAGATAGGTCCCAATACAGTACTCAAGTATTGGAACATAAGTTTCAAGCAGGCATGAGGACAAAAATGTGCTGCAACTAATTAGGGAACATATCATATACCACGAGTTCCACATCACAGCATAACTAGTGCAACGATTAACTTTAAAATAATTTTTGTAAAAACAAATAAAGATGGAGGACAATTGTGCAAAGCATAACATCGTTCAGAAAATTAACTGCCAGGTCAGGTCAGACCTGATAAGTGTATAGTTTGACATAAATGAGGGGCACTCTTTGATTCATTCTGTTGTACTGTCTTGCCATCCGGTTTACTGTCTCTGGAACGAACTCAAGGACAAGATTAAGATAAAGCTCATTCCTTTCAGTGGTTGAGAAGAAGTAATGCTTAAGACCAACAATGTTCGGATGGTCAAGCATATGCATAATTTGCAATTCCCTGTTTTTGTAACGCTTATCTTGAAGAACCTTTTTGATGGCAACGACTTCTCCTGTTTCTCGACATTTCGCCTGAAGAGTTGACAATAAGAGGTTATATGCCATTGACAATCAGTTGAGCATAGACCAGTTTAGACAACGCAAAGGCCAGAAGTTTACCTGAAATACAACCCCAAAAGAACCAGTTCCAACCACATGTTCAGCAATGTAACTGACGGACTGTTTCATTAACCACCATATCAGCAAATTGTGCTTTGACAGCCAAACATTATAGATTGTCAAGATGAATGTAGCATCACCTTTACCTGTTTAGGCAGACCATTTCGACCACGGATTGTGGTTGCAATTATTTGACCAGCTTCAGAACCAGAATCTGCAACCACATCTGGCTCATTGTCCTGAAAATGTAGAATTGAGTCACTTTATCCAGTAAAACAAGTTGCAGAGTTGATCAACAATTATCCTTAGGCTTGCTGTGGATATACATGAGGCATAACAGAGCAAAGCCAGAGCATAAAACTGCATTCCCAGGTTCTAGAACACACCGCAAATCTGCGGCAGAGCAGAATCACGCAGTGCCATTTCATCGTAGACTAAATACAGTGATTACTGATAAATTGCTCATTCTACCTCAAACAGTACAATTAGTTGAGTAACGAGTCAATCAAACAGGAATAGTGACCAATCAACCTACCCTTTCATCATCAGCATCATCTGGCTTTGCATCTCTGAGCTGCATCCCCACCATCCTCCTTCCCAGGAACTCGACTGAGCTGGCCTGCCCCTTCAAGCCATTCCCCTGCCGCGACGAGCTCCCGGCGGCACCGGCATGCCTCTGCCCAGAATACGCCATCTCCCAGCTGATTGGTGAGGAATTAATGGAGATCACCAAGGTCAGCGTCTGCAAACAGCAGAGGGCTCATCTCCTTGCCAGCAGAAGCATCAGCCTACTGCCAATGCAGCTCCCTCCACCACCTGCTTCAACAACAGCTGCCCACAACAAATTTCGGTCAAGATTAACTCGGAATGGATAAATCCCCCAGAAAATAATCGTCAGGAAATAATAAATTGTTCTTCAGTCAGAGCACACATCTCCTGAAAAAAAAAACATCAGCCGAATTTGTACCCACCCAGAGACCTAGAAGATCCACTGAATAAAAAAACCAGCGACTCTCTCCAAATCGTGAGGGACAAATCCCTCAGGAAATTGGACCAAGATCCTCCGAGACAATTGGGTCGAACCAGCCGCAAACCGGGCCGGCGCGGGCAATAAAGATGAACTTTTTCTCCGGCGGGATCAGAGAATCCAAGAACCATTACCTGAAACCAAACCTGCCGGGGAGATCGAAGGCCGAAAATTCTGGAGCAGATCAAGCCGCAGCCCCTCAGCGGTTCCACGGTTCCCGCGATTCTTCTCCCTGCACGAACCGCTGGTTTCGGGGCGGCGGAGGGGGGCGACGGTCACCGGGCCGGCCGGCCAGTAGGTAATGGTGACTGACGAGTGAGGGAGGGAGAGTGGGAGTGAGTGGAGGGCAGGGGGCGGCTGCTCCTCCCCTTCTACCCTCCAAACTTTTCTTTTTCTGGCACTCAACATTATTGGCATGCAGTAGAAAAATAGTTGAGGAGGAGGAGGTGATGGCGAGCATGTGAACCGAAAGAAAAAGAAAGGAGGAAAGATACAAGCTGAGGCTGAGACTGAAGAACTGTGAAGGTGACGCCTTTTATTCGCAGTCAATTTCGCAGCGAAATTTCTGTGGATTGACTGATGGATGGATGGATAATACTAGATGGGATTTTTATTTACTTGGGAGTGACCTCTGATGTGAAAGGATTATCTTATACTGTATTTAAACATTGGCAGTTGAAAAAAAACTGTTAGTGAAATGCTTAATATTTTGGATATTACGTCCTCAGTGATGCAACTGCCGTTAATTTTGCAGTTATGACACAGCAAGATATAGAAGGTACATGGGCGTGGAAAGGGCATTTTCTGAAAGACAAAAAAGACAAGTATAGCTTTTTGTGCTCTGCAGGAGAGATGATGATGCTTCTGTGAAACAAGCTTTCAAAGTTGCACACGCACAAAGACAGAGCATCCAATTCTTTACTGTAATATTCAACACAAAATCCAACACATTGTGATCCGAAGTGGACACAAGGCTGCATGAGCCATGAGGTGTGGTGCCACACAACTTTCGGCAGAAACAGGAGACCACTCCGTCAGAGGCTGCGTTATTCAGTGCTGGAACTCCATGTCATGTACTCCCTCTGTTCGTAAATATTTGTCTTTCTAGAGATTTCAACAAGTGACTACGTATAAAGCAAAATGTGTGAATCTACACTTTAAAATATGTCTACATACATTTCTATGTTGTGGTCTATTTAAAATGTATAGAAAGACAAATATTTAGGAACGGAGGGAGTAAGTAGCACTATACTGTACCTGAACAATCAGTGATGTACAGGCAGCATGTGACACTTTATATACATTCTCAACCATGTTTTTTCTTTTTTTGCAAACTACCCCCTCTGTATACTGTATCAAAATATAAAACATTTTTTGGCACTGTCATAGTGTCAAAAAACATCTTATATTAAGTTACGGAGGGAGCACATAAGAAAACTCTGCCTGTCTCTTCTGCATGTGCTGATTAATAAATCTTCTCATGTGCAGTACCGAGCAATATGCTGCTTTCTTTTTCTCTGTATCTTTATACTCCACTGAACAAAATGTTGCATGGTTCTTCTCCACAGCTGCCTGCCTGCCTGCCTGCAATGCAGGGAGAGAAACTTTGATGTAATAAACTGGTGATACTTGAAACTTGATGCAAGCAAGCAAAGTCCTGGCAATGCATCTGCAGCCACACACACAACTTTGCCCAACAAGAATGGCAACAAGAAACAAGTGGCAGCAGCAACAGAGAGGAGCACTCCAAAAGGTTCATCCTCATCATGCTCATCGTGCTCGCTGTCGTTAGCTCGCTGACCGGTCAATCCATGCCATGCCAGCCCAGCTATACTACTAGTAATACCACTACAGTTCTTACATGCCACTGTAAAGTGCAAAGTGTGCGTGTGCTGTGAGAAGCTGATTCATCACAGCTGGACTCCAAGCAAAGGTGCTGGTAATCAAGCATGTGCTCAACTTACCACTTTACCAGAACGTGTCCTGCACTGGGCACAGTTACCGGTCAGATGCCGACGGCGTCGAGGAGCTCCGAGTGCTGCGCCACGGAGACGAGCGTGTTGGCGACGATGGCCCCGCTGGCGGCCACCGCGGGCACGCCGATCCCGGGGAAGGTGGAGTCGCCGCAGCAGAAGAGCTGCGGGACCGGCGTCGCCTGCCCCGGGAACGTCGCCTCCCCGGCCTTGATGGCGGGGCCGTAGGTGCCCCGGTTCCGCCGGAGGAACCGCTTGTGCGTCAGCGGCGTGCCGACCAGCTTCACGTCGCACTTTTCCCGGCTGAACTTCGGGCCCAGCGCCAGCTCCACCGCCTTCCACATCACCTGCAAGGAAAAGTTTGCATTTGCATTACAAAGTTGGTTAGGACAGACAGCAGGTTACAGCAGCTCATGGCCAGTAAAAAGGAAGGACTGTATAAACTAACTTTTGCTTCACTTTTGTGAAAGGAGTTTTTTGCTAAACTTTGGACGAAAGGAGCTCCAAAGGATGTTGAAAGTGGTAAAGTGCATCGATTTTCTATCTAGGTGCTGATTCCAAGAGACCATGGGACAAAGCTATTATGTGGATTACTGGAAGAGTAGCAATTCTACATTTCTACTAGCTAGTTTGCATATTACTATGTGGAGTACCTCGGAACGCTCCTCTTTTAGGCTCCGGTATGCCGCACTCTTCCGGTCGAGCCCGTCCCACAGGCCGAAAGGCTCCGTCCCCGGTGTGTACGCGTGAAGGATGTGCTTCCCTGGCGGCGCCAGGCCCTCGCTGAGAACGCTGGGGACCGATATCAGCACCACGTTCTGCTCGCCGTCGACCCCTTTGTCCCAGTCATTAACCACGATATGGTGGATCCCAAGGTCCTCCTTGACACACTGTCCAGTTACATACATAGATGGTTACAGCGAGAAAATGTACCGATTAAGCAAACATGGAAGTAGACATGACTATCAGGGATAATTTGTTAGGATGAAGCATATAGTACTATATGACAACCAAATTGACCAACCTCCGTGTCGAAACCCAGGTGGAGGTGCATGAACGAATCGCACTGGGGGGTCGCCTTCACTTGATCTTGGTATGATCTCGGGACGGCATCTGGTGGCAGAAGACCCAAGGTATCCCACATGGACGCGTTGCTAACGACCGCTTTCTTCGCACGTACAATCTGCAAAGAGGAAAACATTCATTCATGACAGGATTTCAGCAGCCGATTCAATGTTTCAAGCATGATGGAAGTCGATACGAAGGAAAAGGTAATCATGCATGGCACTCGAAAACAGATGCATGAGACAACGAGGAGGTCGCTCGTCTTGGCCTACAAGATTTCCATGGTCTGCCACTAGCTAGTGCAAAGGTGGCAAAGGCCTGAATCTTTAATGGGATGGATATCCAGTAGACAGTAGTACAGAAGATATATAGAATTGGCTATTGCGGATTTGCACTAAGGTTGTACTAAATCAGCAACACTTATTTTGGGACAGAGGGAGTGCTTCATAACTAAAGATATGCCACATGAATCTGAATTGGAGCCTTACTATCTGGCGAACGTTCGCCACAAGAGATGGCATTTATGAACGTTCGTCTGACAGTTTCAGTATATTTCGGGAAACTGGGTTGCTTTTTTTTTTGCAAAACTCTCATGGCATTTCTTTTATTTTGAGTGTAGAAAAGTTATCCAGTCTGCACCGTAGGATCAAGATCGTGTGGCAATTTAGGAATTCGCTGGCAGTTGCTCCCTGGCGAACGTCCGCGAGTTACTATTTCCGTTATTGGATACTAAAATATTACTCCACTACTCTTAGAGGCCGTTCGTAATCTCTCCGCTCCTAACTCCGCTGCGGAGCGGAGCGGGACTCAGTGCAATTTTTGCGAGCGGCCAGATGGGCGCTCCACCCGCTCCGCTCCTTGGCAAAGGAGCAGACTATTGCCGAACAGAGCCTTAGTATTGATTTTACTGTGTCCCCTCTGATTTCCAACCATGTATTGACACCTCACCCGGTAACTGTAATCCCGTAAGAATTCGTCTCTCACCTCTGTTCTATTCGACTGCTTAATTAGGTTGAGCCGCCTCCGTCGTCTTTGGGCCCTTCAGCGCCGCCACCCCCGGCTCACCGTCCTTGGATTCTCCCGTCCGATTCAGGTTCTCGGTTACTGTGCCACTGCCTTCTCTCTCCCCTCGCCCGCTCCTGTGAATTTCCAGTGCTGTACAAGCCTACAAGGTAGCCTGCTTTCTGAATCTCCAACGCCAACGCACACACATGCTTTTTGATCTTGTTATTACTTGAAACCTAGCTCGATCATCTCGCCTTCTTTAGGTCCCATGTTGCCACTGAGTTCCAACTACGTACTACATTAGATTTCATCTTACCAGGATCAACTGATGACTCAGTACCACGCTACCCAGTAACAGTAGCCAGATATCGCGGATAATCCAAGGCCTTGCGCATTGTTTGCTATTGGGTCAAGTTACAATGCCTTCTTTCTTATGTAATTTCAGTTCTAAGCAGGCTATTTTTATACAGTTTGCATTCACACACGCTGCTCTCGTTCCAGGAGGCATAAAGAGATCTTTTTATTTGATGTTGATGTACATATATACTCCTGGTAATGATGCGGGTCCTAGTTATCCTACAAACCTGCCAATTACGCACATTCTTGCTGAATTCCGTGACATCCCCTTCTACACAAATAAATGCAAGTATCCCTGGGAGGAAGATGAGGAGGAGATTAAGGCGAATGAATACGATGAAATAGATTATAATAAAGTATCGGGCAAACCGTGGTCACCCGTGCCACATACTAGATCGAGAAAGGGAAAGGGGCGAAGAGGAAGCAATGTTGCTGATTGCTAACAAGGGGAATGGCGTGACAACATGGGATCAGCTTTGGACGTGAGTCTCGGGGAGGTGGATTCACCACAGCCGCTCATCACTAGTGATGAAGTTCTTCGTGTTCGTTTGGACATGTACCATCTGAAAGAGTCTCAAAATTCAGAAGAGAGCCTCTTCAATTGCCAGGCAGCCAAGGAGGAGCTACGTGTCGACTTCACTCGCACCATGACATACTACTATCATGCCATACGTGATGGCATCAAAGCAAAGTCCTATCCGCACTTCTTCCACCAATTTACTGGGGAGGTAGGTACACATCTAGATCTTTCCTCCAACTATCACTTAATTTCATATATGCATTGATTATGTAATGTACCGCATTTGGAGTCTTAGCTTTGTATGTTTTTTGTGTTGACAGTATTCCTCTCCATGTTGTAATTATATTGAACCTACCACCCTGGATGGTGATTTGCAATACATCGAGTTTTTTGACAAGCTAATGGAGTCAGCGAGGTATAGAGAGACCAGAGATGGGGTGCTTGCTAAGGCTATCGTCATGGAAAATAAACTTTTCAATAAAATGCTATTTTTCCAAATTAAGATTGCTGTCAATGAGTGCTTACAACTCATGGAGCATCTGAAGAAGATGGGGCAGAGGCATCAGTTGTATTACTATGTTGTGCATGAACTTCTCATTAAAAGAAAGGACCGTCAAGATATTATCGACCAAATCCGAGAAGGAAAAGTTCAATTGGTCTACGATCTTACTGAGTTTGCTGGTCTAGATTTGGAGGATTGTGAATCTTCTGTACAAGATACGGTACTGGTTCACATGTATTATTACCATCCATTTAATATTTGTTTACACACAATATTGCACATTATGGAGTTAATTGTTCTGCATATACTTTTCAGGTTGATCATCTTATTGATCTTACTGGTGCTAAGGTAGCATTCAAAGCTTATCATCTATTTATTTTCCAAGAAGAGCAAATGACCCTTTTAGTCAATAGCGTTCTTCTGATGTTAGAATTTTGTGTTTCCTCCATAGCATACGACACTTTCCTCAAACAACTCTTTTGCCATGGTCTCATGTGTTTACCATGAATTTATCTTGTCAAGCGATTTGGGCTATTTATTCATGAAAATTAAAGCAAAACATGCATATGTTTGATTTGCTTGGTGTAGTGCCAACTTTTGCCTTGGCAAGCCAATAAAAATGGCTTCCACTTGGTTTGGCACTAACATTTGGAAATGCCCCAAAAGTTTGGTAAGGCTTCTCTCATGTTGGTAGCAAACGAAACGGGCCCTATGTTCCTGATGAAGCCTAATTCCTCCATAGAAACCAAACGGCCCTATCTTCTGATTAATATGACTCTTTCAATTCCTCTAATGCATCAGTGCTTAAGCGGTAAATACATGTTTGCTATCCTATCTTATAGGGAGTTTTCAGGAAAGGCATTTTGTACATATATCCTTAGATGAGATGTGAAAATACTTAAGAGTAGCACTTTGTGGCATTTCTATTTTTGAAGTGGCTTTTTGTCAGAGCTATCTTTCTTTGTCATTCAGTTCTTTGCAACTCATTTATCATTTAAACAGAAGCTAAATTTAAATTGGGATCTAGTTGTACACTTTCAAACTTTTGATGCGCGAGGATTGAAAATGTACTTAACATAACAAGATTTTCAGATTATTATTTGGTAGAAATTGAGATATCATATTAATCATTGACAAATTGGCTTTCAACAAATAATCTTAAATCCATGCATACCTACGCAATTCATCTATTTGCTCAAATTTCTCTGTATTTGCATTTTATTGTCTGTTTATGATTTGGAAATATTCTAATTCAATTTTTGTTGCGTATAACAAAACACAGTCACCTCCAAAGAAAAGCATCAAGGACGGTACCTACAAAAGGATTATCTGTAACGAGGTCGATAAGCTGGTAACTAAGTTCTGTTTTGTAAAATCTCTTGACCTTTTTTTTAGTGTTATAAGGGTTCATAAGCAGTGTTGTTAATATTTTCTTCCCTCATTTCCCCCTCACAGTTTCCAGGAGATATTGAGCTTTATACATATTTTCTGAAGAAGAAGATGGAAACTGCCGAAGAACACAACGTGATACCCAAGGCAAGCTTCTAATGTGGACATAAGAAAGACATTCTTGCTCTTGCTCCACATCTTTTTTCTAACAGTAATTTCTCTTTGCCCGTTTTGAAGGGAACTTGTGAACATCTTGGCGGTTTATGTTCCTTTGACTCGAGAGATAAGAAACTAGGGATAACCAGGTGTATCACCTGCTATTGCTCAGTAAAAGGCTTCGCTTATCCGACTGCTGAAGGGGCGCAAAGAAAGATACAGAGGTGATTAGCCGAGTTCTTGGACTTTGACGTTGGAGCAAGCTGATGATTTGGTTGTTTGAGGCAAGGACATTTCAATCTATCAAGAATTGGGCCAGTGGCTTAGAAGATTTGGAGCATGTAGTTTCCTGCCACTAACAGGCTGTATTAATTATTGCATTTTGTACTGTACCATCTGACTCGAGGAATTTTGGCATCTTGAAGATATTATGAAATATATGTCGTCTGAATCAAAGACTTACTAATAATTGTCAAGCTGTTAATTCCCATGAACTAATATTATACACTTCATATATTTGGCAATAAAACGGTATCCTCTGGAGCGGCTTACCTGTCCACCTCGTAGCTTGACGCCAACAGCCCGACCGTTCTCGATCAAAATCTTCTCCACATGAGAATTAAGAGCAAGTCTTCCACCAAACTTTTCGATACCCCGTACCAGGGCATCGATTATCGCTCCACTCCCACCCAGAGGGTACTCCAGCTTGCATCCTGGCTTGTACCATTCTGCAAACATATAAACCTGACATTGTAGTTAGACCAAATGACGAGCATAAATCTTCAGAATTATATATACTTAACAAGAGGTAAAGATTGATTACAAGTTTTTACAAAAGCCCATGGCTCCAATGCCAAATATCCGGACATGAATCTGTTTATGGAGCAGGCGCCTCTGTCATGATTCATGGACCAGATGACTGCCATCCGTAACTGCAGTAATATGTACATAACTTACGGAAAATTATCACAAGTTGTGGCTGTAGTTTAGTGGTGAGAATTCCACGTTGTGGCCGTGGAGACCTGGGCTCGAATCCCAGCAGCCACATCCATTCTTTTTTTCCTTTTTCTTTCTATAAAACACACAATCCTTTTTCTTTCTATTTTGTTTTTTGACATTATAAAATTACTATTACTACTAGTTTAAGGGCCAGGAACAAACAAATAGATATAGACTGTGCACCAATTTGTTTCATTTATAAAATTACTACTGGAGTCCAACAAGATATTGCCCAGTTCTCATGTAAATGAAATGCGGTTTTTTTTGGACAATCACTAAAGAGAACAGGATAAATTTTTGTTTTTGCGAACAAAGAGAATAGGATAATAGGGTAATTAACCTGGTGGAAATTTATCAGCTTACCATTTCTGCAGAAAGCGCGCTGTCGGATTTGACGCCCGCAAGCAGAAAGCACAGGAGGTCGATCCAGTTACGGACAAAGGGGTTTTTCAGCTCCAGCGAGTCGACAATCTCCGAGAATGGGCGTAGCAGTTTCGTGGCGCCTAGGGCTCCCCGAGGCCCCATTTTAATCAAGGACTGCAACAGAGAAGGTGCGTATCTACCGGCTGCTGTCGAAAGGATGCCCAGATCGCCTCGGATGGAGAGGGGAGGCAGAGCCATCGCAGCTGCGGATATAGGAATAACTGCATCCTGAGATTGTTTTTGATACCGTATTAGCAGAGGTTTCAAGGGGCATAACAGTACCATATGGTAAACTAACGTTTGGTCTCACATTTGAATCATGAAACTTCTATAAATTTAAATGATACTTGTATATACTCCCTCCGTCCGGAAATACTTGTCGAAGAAATGCATAAAAATGGACGTATCTAAAACTAAAATACGTCTAGATACATCCATTCATCCGACAAGTATTTCTGGACGGAGGGAGTATATGCTATACACAAAAAAGAGACAATTCATTGCCCATTTGGCTTCATGTGTTTTTTCAGCATTTCAGTAGGTACAGCTAAACAGACTTGTACTAAGAAACTGAATATCGAATGCAGGGAACTCACTAGAAGCTTTTGCCACTCCCGGGTCGCGTCAAGACCGACATAAGTCTCAAGGTCCTGCAAGAATTATATGTAATCACTTATACTGCCAGAGCATTGGGATACAAAGAAAGGGTAACATACAACATCAAACAAAGTGCACTACTAAGTTTCATAGGTAGAAAGCAACCAATTGTAAGTCATGCTTATTAGCAAATTTCAGTCTCATCCTGCCGACCAAGCAGCGAACATCACATCTATGAATCCAGAACAATTCACTGCAAATTAACCAAGCAGAGTCTGGCATGTGCTACAAGTTAACTGAACCTTGAGGAAATCAGTCGGCCCTATCCGCGACTCGAACTGTCCTTCAGGGACATGAACCATCCAGGAGTCATAGGATGCACACGGAACCGATTCGCCTAGCGCGTCGAGGACCTGCAAGGCCAGTAGAATTCATCATTGCATCAGACCAGCCTCGAGCTCTCACCACAATTTCTGCATTTAGTACAGACAGTTTTGCTCTGTTGATTAGTTCAGTTAAGACTTCAGACAGTTATTAATTTCTCTGAAATGGTTTCCCAATTTTTGCTCTGTTGGTGTTTGCAGAGGAAGGAAGCAATCGATGGAGGGTGACCTGGGCGAGGGGGTTGGCCTGCGGCCCTCTGGACTGGAAGCCGGAGAAGAGCGAGGGGCCGGAGTCGAAGTGGAACCCCTTGACGTCGAACGAGTGGGCGGCGCCGCCGGGCCGGTCGTGGCTCTCCAGCACCACCACGTCCTGCCCGTACCTCGCCAGGAGCCCCGCGCAGCAGAGGCCCCCGAGCCCGCTCCCGATCACCACCACGTCCGCCTCCGGCCTCTCCGCCACCCTGAACCAAACGTAAAGACGACGACGATTGCCTGATGAGCTCTGAGCCTCTGGCACGGTTCGAACGGCGAAGAGCCGGTGCGAGTAGGGGTAATGATTAATACGTACCCGGGTGGCGAGGGGCCGGCGGGGGCGGCCACCGCCCGGCAGCGCGCGGCGGCGCCGAGACGGCGCGGCACTGGAGAGGCGGCGGCGGCGGCTGCCGGGCACGCGCGAGGGTGGCGGTTGCCGCGTGGCGCAGGGCGCGGCGCCGGGGAGGCCAGCGCGGAGGAAGCCATCTAGGCCGGCGGTCTCGTCGCCGGTGGCGCGCACGGCAATGTCACGGGTTTGGGTGGGGAAGAGGGAGCGGGAGTGGAGCTCGTGAGTGAGGCAGCGGCTGGGTACACGTGGCGCCTCAGTGGCCTCTCTCCACTTGCGGCTGAGCTCTCTCGCCTCTGCTGCTGCTAGTTGGCTTCCGATTTTTATTTAAAAATGAAGCTGTTTAACAAGAATAAAGAATGAATTGTAATTTTTACAAGAAGCCAGTTAACAGGGCATTAGAAACAGAAACCAACATGCGGTTGGATGGTTAGAGGGATAGTGGTATCCCAGCGCTCGCATTATTTTTAAATTTCTTTCAGATTTCCGACGATGCGCTTTCAGTGGGAGGAGACATTCCCTTCTACGACGAGGCGCATAGGGACGAGTATATGCGCGTATGTATGAGCGCTTGCGTCTATACTGATGTTAAAGAAAAGAAACAGAGAATGAAGTCATGTTCGGCGGACCTTTTTTGAAAAGCAAAATATATTAATATCAAGTAGATACCAAGTACACCCAGACTCTGTACCAACAAGATGCTTAAAAGCATCCAGGATGCACACAGCCAAGAAAACAAAATAAGAAAAGAAAAAGAGAAAAAATGACCCTGCCATGATGATCAATCACCCGAAGTACTAGCACTCTAACCACCACCAAAGACAGCACCCAGACTACAAAGAAGGTTCTTCAAAAACAATGCCTCCACAAAGGAAACAATGCATAAGTGTTGCCGTTGCCCAATCAAAGATGGTTTTCACCCTGGAAACAATGCCTTCAACAAGGTCACTGCCAGACACAATTAATAAAGGCCAGACCTTGTGTTTTCAACTTGAAAAGCACGACTTGATACTCAAAGGAGCACCACCAACAATGAAATCCTCCAATGCTGCCGCCCCCACTTGCCAAGGCTACTACTACAAGTCACGTACCGCCAGACTCACAGGAACTCGTGTCCGGTCTGGACGGAAACATATCCCGCAAGCCAGGTCTGAACAACTGCCTGTGAAGCAAAGTCTTCATCACCTGTGAGACCCAGACAATGCTGCTTGCAGGCCCTCCAATCATGCCATGGCATTCTCTGCATGTGTTGATCCTTTGGAAATCTTAATGCAAACATGTCCCAAGGTGTCAACAAAAACAGAGCTTCGTGATACCCCGCTGAAGCTGGTTATGCTGATATTGCGGGTGCACACGACCAGACCCAATCCAAACAAGGTGTCCAAAAAGTGCCATATACGTCAGTCATTGGTTTCCTTCAAAGGAGATGTCCGGAACTCGCCGATGGCCAGATCAAAGAGGACTAATCAAAGGTACAATGGTGACTTCGCACCAAGACCACTAGGGCTACCCAGATCAGCTCTGTGTCACTGTACGTTCGGCGGACCTGTGTTAAGCCTAAAATAAAGGCCACAAACATGACAGAAAATATCGCGGCATAATGATGGTTCGTGTGATGGTGTACTGGGGTCTTGAATGCAACTAGGAGCTCTGTAAGGAAGCCAAGGCATGAGTCTATCGATGATCCTAACATATCGTAATATCATACAATATGAGAAGACACTTCTGGACGAGTTGTCATTTCTTTGGCCCACTTTCTCACCCTCCAACATATCATTTATCCCGACGCCTTTCATTCTCAGAGCTCTTCACCATGTTCTTGACCGGAACCGCTATTTTAAACATTAAATGTATATATAACATTGTTACACTCTTGTAGCTAATCATCTGATTTTGTGTTGTGTAAGAAAACATATTGTATTCATGCTAAGGTTAAGCGTTGAATGTAGAATATGAAATTCACAATCAAACAAGTGGAGGGTTTATATAGGGAAGTGGATGTTAATATGGGTGGGAAAGTGGGTGAAGAAATAATGTACCCCTTGTATCGTGAGAGCGGAGATGAGTCGGAAACAATTTATTGTGGAGGTCAGTGATCTGAAATTGATTTATTTCACACATCACAGTTATAATAATATGTACGCATCATAGTTATAATACTGTTCACCGAGTGCAGATGGGTCCAGGCTAAAAAAATGAATATTCGATTACTGAGGATACTTTTTATCTAAATTTCTTGAGAAAATATTTTCTTTCAAGATACTCGCAAGGAGGCCCGCGCAGCAGAGCCCTCCTAACCAACTCCAATTGACCACCATGTATGCCTCTGGCCTCTCGGCCACCGGGGATGAAACAACGATGACCATGACGGTCCAAGTGATTGTTTGTCGGTTGTCGCGCTCTTTCATGATTTGAGCGGTGAAAAGCTAGTGCAAGTGGTCGATGAAAATTACTCCCTCTATTCTGTAATATAAGAATGTTTTTGACATTAGTGTCAAAAACGTTCTTATATTATGAGACGAAGAGAATAATATGTATCCGAGTGCCTCATATGGAGATAATTACATCTACAGTCTCTGTATTCTCCGGCGTGTAACATGATGGTCCTTAAATTCACGGAGTACTTCACTATGGTCCTCAAATACGAGAATATGCTCCAATACGGTCCTAGCTACGTCTCCTACTACAACCTGCTGCCCAGCCCTGTGCCACATCAGCATTCGATACACGTGTGGGTCCTGCATGTCAACATATCAAAGAGGAACATGAAAAAAATATTCTGCATGTCAGCACAACAAAGAGGAACTTGGAAAAAGAATCACCAATCCAAGATTCGATGCAGAGCCCACACGTCAACCTAACAGACAAGCTAACCAACAGACTGGACGATGATTCGTGTCTAACAATGATATAGAACTTTAGATAAATCAGTGTGTAACGTATCCGTTTCCTTTCTATTTTATTTATCATCTGCGTGTTTATTTTTCCTTTTAGTTGAAAATTTATTAAATAATATACATAAATTATGTATTAATAATTCTTGTAGTTTTTCTTACTTTTTTAAAAATGGGAAAGTTAAAAAGGAAAAAAATGTACTTGAAAATAAAGAATAAAAAAACAGTAGATAGGCGTAGATTTGGATAAAAATATAACCACACTGAACATTATCCAAAATACATGTTGTCAATTTATGTTAAATAGTTTTGTATTTACAAACTACTCCCTCCACAGTTTAAATGGCGTATCTCCAAAACCAGAATTTTTCATAATTAAAAGGAAATAAGGCACATGTCATTAATTAGCCTATTAAATACATCGTTTTGGGAGGAATTAGCTCCTTCCGCTTGCCTTCCTGGTGCGCATGCATGGTGTGAACTGAAATTACTCCACCAATGCATGCGATGGTTTCTTTCTTTTAGTGGACGGGAAGATTACTATGCGTTTGTTTGGCGATTAATTAGGCGCATATCCTTAACTACCGCAGCTCCAGCGCATCAGTTATTCCTGCCAATCGCTAGCAACCTTGGGCCCAGAGAGATGTGAGGTACGTCCTTTAAACTGTGATGGAGGGAGTATAGTGAAGATACCCAATAAATGTCCGTGTTGTGGTCCTGAATGAAGATAGATAAATTTTCCCAATAAATGTGCGTGCTTTTGATCCAAACTACATTTTTTCTCTCTGATGTGCTGACATATGAGGTCCACATTTGTACTGTATTGCTGGGAGTAGCGTGAGATGTAGCCAGGACCATATTGGAGCATATTCTCGTATTTGAGGACCATAATGGAGCACTCCACCAGTTCGAGGACCATCATGTTACATGTCGGAGAGTATAAGGACTTTAGGTGTAATTATCTCGCCTCATATGGAGGCGGTCACCGCCTGGCAAGCGAGCGACATCGACACGACTCGGCATTGGAGCGGCGGTGGCTGCTACTACTGGGCATCCGCGAGGATGGCAGTTGACGTGTGACGGAGGGGAGCCCAATGCAGAGGAAGCAATCTGGGCCGACGGTCTCGTCGCCGCTAGAGCGGAGGTGGCGCGCGCAGGCAAGGCCACGAGTTTGGGTTGGTAAGAGGGAGCACGAGTGGAGCACCTGACTGGCTTGGGACACGCGTCGCCTTGCCAACATCTCCGGCTTCACCTAATTGCGTAAGGCCAACTCCACCGTGCGACCCCAAATGGATGTCCGATTTGGCCGGATTTTGTCCCTTTGAGGCGACGATGCAGTCGCCCATGTCCGCGTTTGTCCGCTGGGTCGTGGGTACGCCCAGCGCGCGGCCGCATCCCAAATCATGTCCGGGGAGGACGTGATTAAAAAAACAAAAAACTTAAATAAAATGCCTAAAAATTAAATAAACACACTTAAAAAAATTAAAACATATATAAAGGTCACGGCCACAAAATGGCCCAGTTTCACGCCGCACTTAAATGGTCCAGTGTCATAATTAACATAAAAACAAAATAAAAAAGCCGCCTGCACGCTGCTACCGCGCCCGTCCATGCCCTGGCCGTCGCCGTCGCCGTCTTCGGTGGTCGCCGGTGTCGTCGTCGTCGCTGCAGAGGTCGACGTAGTCCGGCGGCGTCCAGAGATGGGCCGACGGTCCGCGATGCACGGGGGCAGCGAGCTGGAAGGTGGCCGGTGCCTACACCACCTCCTCCCAAGGCGAGGCGTCGCGCTCCGGCGACCGCGGCGGCGTGGGGCACCAGTTGCCCCCCACGGCGGCCGCCATCTGCTCCGCCGTGCACGACCAGGTCCATCCCTGGCCCACCAGGCCCGGGTGGAAGGCGGCCATGATACGTCTCCAACGTATCTATAATTTTTGATTGCTCCATGCTATATTATCTACTGTTTTGGACTATATTGGGCTTTATTTTCCACTTTTATATTATTTTTGAGACTAACCTATTAACCGGAGGCCCAACCCAGAATTGCTATTTTTTTGCCTATTTCAGTGTTTCGGAGAAACAGAATATCAAACGGAGTCCAAACGGAATGAAACCTTCGGAAACGTGATTTTCTCATTAGATAAGATCCAGGAGACTTGGACCCTCCGTCAAGAAAACCACGAGGCGGTCACGAGGGTGGAGGGCGCCCCCTCCCCTAGGGCGCGCCCCCTGCCTCGTGGGCCCCTCGA